TCATCAGTAAGGGCACACATAACCTCTGGTTCAATCACGACTGTGTTGAAGCTGCTTCGCGTAAGCAAGCGGCATATCGTGCTTGGATCAGAGGCCGCGCTCTCAAGGATCCCGGGGTCGATTCACTCAAAGCAGCCTACAATTCTGCTTCCAAGGCCTGTAAGAAGGCTTACATCAGAGCGGATGCCCAGCGTGTTGCACGTGTTGGCCAGGAACTTATAACGCATCCTGCGGGCTCCCGTAGCTACTGGCGTTTGGCCAAGGCCGTGCAAAAAAACTTCTGCCAGCCCTCGCTGCCACCTCTGAGATGCCCAGACGGAACACTAGCTCATAAGCCGCAGGAGAAAGCCGATTTACTGGCAAAACTCTTTGCGGCTAACTCCCGAATCGATGATTGCAATGCACTGCCACCATCATTACCTCACTGTGGCACAACGATGCCTGATATTAAAATCAGGCAGCGTGAGGTTCGTGCCGAATTGCAATCACTCGACGTCCGGAAAGCTAGTGGACCTGATGGCATCCCAGCAGTAGTACTTAAACGCGCTTGTACCAATGCTCGTATTCTTTGGGGCGTGTGCCGGAGACTTGGAGAGATGCTAACGTGCAACCGGTGCCCAAAAAAGGGGATCGCTCAGACCCGGCAAACTATCGGCCAATAGCAGTCACCTCAGTTTTATGTAAAGTTCTAGAAAAGGTCCTTAATAACCATCTGACCCGCTACCTAGAGGATCACTCCCTGATTAATGATCGTCAATATGGATTTAGACCGAAACGATCGACGGGTGATCTTCTAGCGTACTTGACTCATATCTGGGGTGAGGCTATCGACAAGCGTGGCGAGTCGTTGGCTATCAGCCTTGACATTGCCAAGGCGTTCGACAGGGTCTGGCACAAAAACCTTCTCTCCAAGCTTCCGGCATACGGTCTGCCAGCCCAGTTCTGTTCTTGGGTAGCTGACTTCCTGCATGAGCGTAGAATTCGTGTCCTTACGGATGGTAGCAATTCGCGGTTCATGTCAGTGAATGCCGGCGTTCCCCAGGGCTCCGTCCTATCCCCCACTCTCTTTCTGCTGCATATCAATGACTTGATTCCTCTTGGGAATATTCATTGCTATGCAGACGATAGTACAGTGCATGCGGGGTATCTCGGACAAGCAGCGGCTGGGCAGGCAGTAACCAGGGAGAAACGGGAAAATCTTGTCATTGAACTCAATCAGGCTTTGGACCACATTTCCGAATGGGGTACCAGGAACTTGGTTGGGTTCAATGCCAAGAAAACTCAGGCTTGCGCTTTCACGGCAAAAACATCGCCATTCCTTCCCCTTCCATCTCTTCAGGGCACAACACTACCGCTGCAGAGCAACATTTCCATGCTCGGTATGGAAGTTCGCTCAGACCTGAATCCAAAGGACTACATCGAAACCGTGATCAAAACAGCTTCACGCAAACTCGGAGTCCTGAACAAGGTGCGGCGTTTTTTCACGCCCGATCAACTGTGCTTGTTGTACAAAACGCACGTGCGGTCCTGCGTGGAATATTGCTCGCACCTCTGGGATGGCTCCGCCAAGTACTTGCTCGATGCTTTGGATAGGTTACAGCGGCGCGCAATCCGCATCATAGGCGATGAGGAGGTGACTAAACACCTTGAGCCTCTTCAATTACGCCGTGACGTGGCGTCACTAAGCGCGTTCTATCGTTTGTACCACGGCGAGTGTTCTGAGGAGTTATTCTCTCTTATCCCACCTTCCCCTTTCCTTCAGAGGACCACGCGCGCTGGCCTACGTTGTCACCGTCTTACTGTGGCCACAATTCCAACGCGTACAAAGAAATTTGGTGACTCATTTCTTTGTCGCACTATCTGTAAATGGACTGCTCTGCCCGCTCACGTGTTCCCTCCCTCTTACAACCTGGGATCCTTTAAAAGAGGCGTGAAGAAGCAACATGCAGGCCGGCAGGGTGAGGATGGCTGGTGTGGCAGGTAGAACTGCTGTATCAGCTATCGTCGCGTCTGGACTTCACCTTCACTTAACATCAGGTGGGGTGGAGTCATTTGTCGGACCTAACTATAAAAAAAAAAAAAGGATATGTATTCTATCCATTACCCTAGTATCCCATAACACAAGCCTTATAGTGCTTACTTTGGGGCTAGGCTAATTGGTGTGTGTGTTGGAAATATTTATTCATTATCATTTATTTATAATGAAAGTGAGAATGTGTCAATGAAAAGTGTGAAAATCTAATTTGATTCGATATTAACAAAAATATATTCCTTTTTACCTAAAATGGAATTGGAACAAGAAAATGGATTAATTAAGTCCTGGAAACGATTTCTTAGGATTTTTGCTTTCACTGTATTCTTTTATGTCGTGTGATATTCTGATGAACTAGATTTTTCATGTCACAAATACGTCTTTTATTTTACGTACCTTTCTGATTTCATGTTTTGCTTACTCTGTGCAAATCTATTTCTATGCACAGCACTGTAATTCTTTTCACCTCACTCCATAAAAAAAAACAAAGGAATATTAGAACAACAGGTTCCAAATTCAAAAATAATATTACTAGCAGCCGCCCGCAACTTAGTCCGCGTTAACATTGGTTTTTCGAAAATCCTTCGAGATTTTTCGAGATAAAAATTATCATATGTCGCAATCCACTTAATAAACTGTATGTGTGCCTTTCATCCAAATCTATTCACATACATATTTACAAACTTTCACATACAAAATATTAGGAGCATTGTTTGTTTGAAGCTCGATGCCGCGGGTGGTTAGCGCGTTCGGCTGCGATCGTTGAAGTTAAGCAACTTTCGCAGTGTTCTGTCATTGGATGGGTGACCAAAAATCTTCTATCTCGAGTTCCTCCATGTTTCGGAAGGCACGTTAAGCCGTTGGTCCCGGCTGCATATGCAGTTTTTAGCACCCGCCAATCGGCACTGTGCCCGCGTGGTGGGTTATGGCCCAATCTCCCTATTCCATCCATAGGGAAGGCCTGTGCCCCAGCAGTGGGGACATTAATAGGCTGATGATGATGATGATTGTTTTTAAAGCCAGGCTTTGTACAAATTTATTTTCTTTGCGTACCATTGTAACGGTTCTAACGATTATGATTTTATTTATTTTTTAAGCATTTAACTGCTAGATGTTTAAATCTAAAGAAAAGTTTACTAGAAAAAAACTAGTAAACTTTTCTTTAGGTTCTAACAATATTTGATGATATTGTATTTAGGTTAAAGATTTACTTTTTCTTGCTTATTATAAACAAAGAATAGGTTTGGATTAGTTACTCCACCTTTTGTCTCTGTTCATTGTATTCAATATGTAATTTCAGTGATATATAGAAAACATGGTGTGGCTAGTCCAAGCTTATTCCTCATTTATTAGAAGAGGTAAAAGTTTAGCTATATTATAGTAGTATTTCTTGTGAAAACGGAATACGAAAGTACTAAGGAAAGCTGGGTCGTCTAGATAATCCGCTAGGCAACGAATTCAAAAGAAAATTACGCGAATCCAGCGAATGAGGTCGCGGATAAGTCTACCAATAAATAACTAACAGACTTCAAAGACGATTATTTCATGATTACTCAAGATACAATTTCCGAATGAATCTATCATTTGGAGTTAATATATTCTTTGCATAAAACTTTTTATCGACAGTTCTCCAGCTAATACTTAAGAGCCCTTTCACATGTTTTGCAAAAAGTCGTAATTTTTGAGCGCCCTGTTTACCCTCTTAGAAAACACTTTGACTATTTTCAATAGAAGTCAGTAGATTTATTCTTACTATTGAAAGTTAATGTAGAATATTTGCAAATTCTATTTTCCTTTTCTGATCGTTCTACTGCAGTTAGTTTACGGAAAAAAACGATAATATGCACTACTTCAAACGCCTCAACATCATAAATACGTTTTTTTTGTAACATAATGTATTGTAATTTTGATTTTTCATCTCATTAATTATCAAAAAAAGCTTCCGTGAGTTTTCCCAAAAAATAATGCAGGTTTACCTCGTATTTTGATATTGAATTAAATAGAATTACTATCAAAAACTTTCATAAAACTAATCTATCATCATTGAACTACTGAAATATATGTATATTTTTATAATTAGTAAAATTTAACTTTTACTTTTAAAATTTAAAAGTAAAAGTTAAATTAATGCAATATACCCTAGTGCAAATCTACCTACGCGCCGATCAGTACGGCAGCGGCACAATTTTGTAAAAGGGCTCTTAAGTTAAAGCCCGTAAGCTTGAGTCTTCTTAATGTTAAAAGGGTGGCAAACAAGCGTATGGCCCCGCCTGATGGTAAGCTGCCACCATAGCTTATAGACGCTTGCGATACCAAAAATATCAGTCGCGCCCTTGTCTGCCCTGAACCAATCATCCAGCCCTTGGAGCCCTGGAACCTAACTCACCGATTGAAATACAACATCACCAAAATATTCCCTAGACGGGCACTTCAATATCATTTGCCAAGTTTTAAAAAACGATCTCACGTTATTGACTAATGTTTACGGAGTCCGTAAAAAGATATGGATATTCATCATTCTGTTGTGTATTTCCCAGTAAAAATAACCAAATCAAAAACTCCATTTTCAAGTTGCCGCGAAAACGTTTTTCTGGACAATATGGCGTCTTACTAGTGTGTGACGTCACACGACTGTTATTAAAACGTCAAACGATACAATGTAATGTCACTTTAACAGGAAGTTTACTAGCGTGTGACGTCATTTTAGGCTCCGCCAATCCCAAACGTTTTGGGTCACGTGACAATAGATAAGAAATCTAATAACTTTTTCGTGGGTTTTTAGTAAAATTATGTATATTTTTTTGGAAAAAATCGTAAAAACCCCTGCCAATATTCATTCTAAACACAGATGATAACAATTGGCACTTTATTTTTAATACTGTCAAATACCCTTTTCTTGCGTCAAATCCGCTATGCTTACTTCTTTTGAGTCTTGATGTATAATCGCCAATGTCTGTTTTATCTACAGGAAAATGGATCCTGACCTAATGAAAGAAGAGCTGACCTTGGACACGTCTACCAGGACATCACGCTTCACGACTATCTTCAGTACAGAAGATGAGCACTCTAGTATTCAGAATACTTCAAATATTACCACCATTGGTGGAAACGACTTGAATTACTACTACTTCTATGACGTAAGTTTGATTATAGTTTATGTTTATACTTACTACTTGCGTGGGCGATGCTTAATATTGGTATATTTAGATAGACTGTAAATTTAAAAAATTCCATGATAATCAAAGAAAGGAGATTTCAAACTGCTTGGGATAAATGGAAATAGTTCTAAACCAATTAAGAAGGTTGCACAATACCTTGTATCAACGACCAGTCCAGAAGCTCCTGAGGTAGACGCGTCGAGCCGGCTATCCAAAACCGAACCTGTTATCGCGGCCGGTTGGTATTCTTATGGGTAAATGGATAGTCTTGCACTTCTGTTTTCACAATGAGATTCACTCGAACTAAGGCTATTGTTTATCAAACGAATTCATTAAGAAGAGCGCGATTTATGGCAGCCATTAACAAAAGGTGCTGATTTGCTAAGAAGGATGTTAACTTCAACACCCGCTAGACTTGTCGACTCGCTCTTGCAACTGATGATGAGATTGAGGAAAACCTGGAGAAAAACAACTATTTTTCGGTACCCATCTTCATACTATCGTAAGGAAGCGAAATTCACTAACTTTAAAAGTCACAAAGATCACTGCGTTACAAACAAATAATAATTAGTACTTACCTCATGAGGAATTAAATAAAATATAATAATATAGAAATACGTTTATGTGCCAAGTTTCTATCACGTGTAGTTTTTTAGGTAACCGTAACTGTCAATTAATCGATAAATTATTCCATATATTTCTTTCTTAGGTTTTCACGCACACCACTCATTAAATAAAACCAGTTTCAACTGTATAGATATAGCTACCTTCGAAAGAACTAACTTACTTTCAAATATCGCCCATGCTAAAGATGATCGCGTATTTTAATATTAAATATTTTAAATAAAACATGTTCAACGGTATAGATGCATTGATTTATTTATTTATTGACGTTTCGCTTCCTTATGCGAATTTCGTATTATGTCGTTGAAACTTGATTTATTTAACCCTTCTTCACATAAATCATCAATAGTTCCGCATTTTCAGGTTTGTGATTACCTTCAGTGCCTTATATCCCACTTCTTCCAAAGCTTTTAAGCAATGATGTCCATGTACATCTCTCTGTCAATTAGTTTTCGGTCTGAGATCTATTGATGAGGTTAATGACTTATTTATGTTAACGGTTGCTTATGCAAGTTTGTTGCTATATACGGTAAAAGTGATAAATAAATTTTGATGATCCCTCTGTTTATTTTTATATTTACATAGAGATATTTAAATTACAAAAGCTTAAAAGCTTATTATTTTAATGATGACATTTTAGTATATAGGTATGGGTAGAAATGTTCGTAGATTCAATTACTTTAGTACGAAATAATACAGGTTTACACCGATATAAGAAGCATTAATCACAATTTAGACCTACCATTCGAGCTGAGCCAACACAATAAATCCATTCAATTCATTTGGATTAAGACTAAAATGTTCACTTAATTATAACCATTACCTTTGTTCTAACAGGGAAATTAAACGGGATTGGTGTTTGCACAAAACATTATTTTCAGCGTATAATAACAGTACAATGTACGTGCTCGGTTCTGAATCGTTTGTATATTTTTTTGCGAGGCGGGAATTTTAATATTTCAACGGCTGTGATGTTTGGAATATTTATCTGTGCAGCATACAGATTTTATGAATAGGCAATGTTGATTTTTGTGTTTTTATAATGTTTTATCTTCCTAAAATTCCAATTTAGGTATTTATATAAAACTGTAATACATATATATTACAGTTTTATATAAATACCTAAAACTAGACAAAACTTAAAACTATGAACAGGATAAAACAATAGTCTTCTAGTCTTCCCCGCCGGCAAAAGTTCCCAGTATGCTAGCGGCATTTCCCCGCTGAATGGCGAGGCTTATGCGCTGGGCGAAATAGCCGCCAGCTCTGCGGTCTCCAGTGGTCTCCACCAATCTCTTCGCAATGTTTTTTTAGAATGTTAGATTATTCAAATTTTCATACAGAACGGTGGTGTTGTGTATTTTAGTGAGTAATGCTGCAATTACGTAAGACATTACTTGATTTCAGGCACCCGAAGCAAAATTTACATTGGAATACGGGCTGGAAGACGATGTTAAGTAAACAAAATGAAATCTACCCCAATAAGGGCCTATTGAGGAGCTCGATGGCGCAAGTGGTTAGCGCGTTCGGCTATTTACTATCTCGATCTCCTCCGTGCTTCGGAAGGCACGTTAAGTCGTTGGCCCCGGCTGCATCTGCAGTCGTTAGCACCTACCAATCCGCACTAGGCCCGCGTGATGGGTCATGGCCCAATCTCCCTATTCTATCCATAAGGAAGGCGCTGTGCTCCAGCAGTGGGGACATTAATAGACTGGTGATATGTGAAGTGAAAGGCGTACTCGACTCCGTTCATTTATACTTAGTCGTTTACCCGAATTCTATTGGCACTTGTATTCGGGCTGTCGGCCTAGTGTAATCGCACCATTACATCTCTTTACATTCTATCTTGATGTCAGTAAATGCAGGAATTCTTTGAACCATTAGGGTCGAGTGTTTTAAAGAAGCCTTTTTGCTTTAAAATATCAGACACCAACGTTTTTGTTTTTACGATTATATCTTCACCTTACGGAATAACACAACGTTTCATTAGTATATTTCGATTGGTTATTAAAGTTACAGGGCTTTCTCTCTTTAACTTCTTTTGAATTTTTACAACTTAAAGGCTTACAACATACTTTTCGGATTTTAATCTTCCCTGACCGGTAAAACTAAGTAACACATTTTTTTTTTATTTTCTAAACTATAAAAATCAGTGATTTAAAATCAAAGAAAAATTTAATAGCAATTTTTATCAGCTTTCTTTAAAACGTAAGCACAAAATTAAACTCTTTTTCGAGTCCTTTTAATATAGAAAGTTTATTTTGTGTCCTTAAAAAGTTATTGCAATTTTAAAAGTGTGATACTTAGTTTTGCAGGTCAGTGTATATCAAAATTTATCGGCGTCGTAGTGTTATATTAGTTCTTAATCAAGTTATTCAGCTTAAACTGACGGGGTCAACTTAATTTTCTAAGTTAACGGGTGAATTTTCTCCTAGCTCCTCTAGGTAATCAAGTAGATATTTCTTTTTATTAAATCGGGACCAAGTGTTTTTTTTAAAGTAAAATTTACTCAAGATTTTACAGAAAATTATTTTAAATTAAATACCTAAACAATATTTGAAAGGTATCTCGGATTTTGTTTCTATTTTGTTGCTATAACAAATGTAGGTAGGTATAAAATCTGTATCGTAAAGTTTTGTAAGAATACAACGCGAAAATGCTTTAAAAACTTTCAGTTAAAAATACTTTTTCGTAGAGATCCGGAAGTAGAAAATCCATAAAAACAATGTTTACATGCTAAATTGAAAGCAAAATTAGGTTGTCGACATAATCAAGGTGTCCGATAAGGTTTTATCATGGCGAACCTCTCCTAAAGATAGTGGTTACATCGACCTGTCCATTTGCACGATTAAAACCTTTCAGCTTTTATTACGCGGGTAATCCGCGTGGAAATGTGGTGGGTGTGGGTAGATTCACTCGCATGCACGTGTCGAAGCTTTGATACTAAAATCCGCTAAAATTAGCGTTCGAAATTTAAATTAGTTCCATTGTAAGTATGCTCTTTTACTTGCGCAAACAAATGTATCGTCACCCACAATCTCTTTTATGCGTGTCGAAAATCGTCTAGCGTCTATAGCAAGCAGCCCGATAATACATTACGATAGAGCTAATTTAAATTTCGTACGCTAATTTTAGCACATTTAGTACCAAAGCCACCGAAATCGTATCCGCGCGTGAAAATTTTACAAGAAAGCACTGCAGGTGTGGTGGAAGCATAATACGCGATACACTGAGAATATTGTAACTGCCACTGCTACATAGACCCACAAAGTTAGAAATACATTATACATACCTTTAATTATAGGGATATGTATTATGCTAATGTCTTGCATTGTATTTTTAAATCTTGCATTGAATTGAACCCGAACATACATTGCAAGATAAATAAAATATTAGTAAGAGCTTATAAAAAAATAAGCAATAACCAGTGAAATTACTTACAGTATGCTTTGTTTGACATACATTTGGTTTTTGTGTTTAATTGAGAAGTTTGTGATATACCTATTAATCATTTATTGTGATAATTTTGTAGTTAAATGTAACAGCTGATGTTCACTCGTAAATAAAAGGCATCTGAACTTTAAAATCGCTTTATCGAAATTTTGATATAATGTCACAACGATCTGTTGAAAATCGATTTATTGAAATTTTGATTAAAATTTGTTTTACCACTTCACAGTGGGTTAGGTTAGGTTAGGTTGTGTTGGTGTTGCGAGCCGAGCGAACAAAGCGAGCGTGCCGCGGCCACCTGACAGATAATAGATAAATAATTATAGATAATCGATAAATAAAACATAGAAAAGTCGACTCGCTATCGTTTTTTACACACACTGCCGACTACGCATTCGGCATTGTATAGAATACCTAGGCAAAGTATAAAATGAATAATATTTCATACATTGCCTTGACATTTTTGGCATTTTATACATTGCCTAGGTCATCATCATCATCATCATCATCAGCCTATTAATGTCCCCACTGCTGGGGCACAGGCCCAGGGAGATTGTCCCATGACCCACCACGCGGGCCCAGTGCGGATTGGTGGGTGCTAACGACTGCAAATGCAGCCGGGACCAACGGCTTAACGTGCCTTCCGAAGCACGGAGGAGCTCGAGATAGTAAATTTTTGGTCACCCATCCAATGACCGACCACTGCGAAAGTTGCTTAACTTCAACGATCGCAGCCGAACGCGCTAGCCACCTGCGCCATCGAGCTCCTCAATATTGCAATAATTGCCTAGGTATTGCATAGAATCATACAGATTGGCGGTAACATATACATTATACTCGCAGTTCTCTGCGGTGTGAAGCCGCCGCGTCTGCGGGTATTCATTCGCGTACAGGGTGCAGCAAACAACTGCAACCGTAAATTGCATAAGCAAAAGAGGACGGGCGTTTTTGCCAGGGAACCAATAACAACATGCGATATATCATTAGAAAGGGTCTTTATGTACTTTTGTTGTTTTTATGATAGGTTATGAAATGAAATGAAAAGTCATTTATTAAGTCTAGGCTGTTTTACAAGCACTTGTGAAGGTTAAGAAGCTACGCCATCGCTTCGCAAAACTACGGCGAGAGATCTTGTACTGAGAAGAACCGACAAGAAACTCAGCAAGGGCTGTTTTTTCTCCCTGTATTGTTATATGCAGAGTCGTCAAGTCGTCAGAAATACGTCTGAAGTCACCTGTTAAATGAAAATACTGTAATATGACTGCTTTGTTTTAATATATTGGAATTTTTGCATGCTATTAATATGGCTAAATAGGTTTATGTTTCTTAGCTTAACATATGCTTAATATTCTTATCTATTCTATTCTATGACGGAGTGTCTCAAATAGCTGTGTGAAAAGAGTTATGACACAATAAAGCCAGACAGAAAATAATATGAAGCTTTTACTTAAGGATCTAAACTAGCCAAATCATATTGTGTGGAGCACTTGCACAATGGTCTGTATATAATTGAAGTGAAAAGAGATGATTAAATAAGAGATTTGCATCGGTACAATGTGCCTCAAAATGGAGGCATTATTTATGTCAGTGGCCGTATACAGTCCCGCCATGTACGGACAAGAAAATATTTATGTTACATTTTGTTTAGCAGGGATGTAATTGATATTACATTGGACTTGTTTGACAGCGCGCCGGACAATAGGAAGAGGAAGTAGGGTCCATATAACCTCTATTGTGTGGTATCTAGGAGTAGGACGGCAAGAGCCTTTTAATCCTCTCGCCGGAGATTTAATCTTTTATATAAAATTCTCGTGTCACAATGTTAGTTACCATACTCCTCCGAAACGCCTTGACCGATTTTTATGAAATTTTGTATGCATATTCCGTGGGTCTGAGAATCGCCTACTATCTATTTTTCATATCCTTAAGTGATAAGGGTTGTCTACCTGTTACGTAGTGTTCTACACTTACAAAGCGCCTTCGCGCCAAAATTCAAACTGTTGGGTATTGTAACGTAGTGTTCTCATATGGGTTAGGAGGAATGTTATCCCACGAAATTGATGGAACACTACGTTACACACCCCTAAAAACTTTTTTTGTAATAAAAAATATTTATTTTTTTATTATGTGCTATTAAAAAATAAACCCTAAATTTTCACTCTTCTACCACCTGCCCCTATTTTTATGGAGGTACGAAGTTTGCTGGGTCAGCTCGTAATATCATAATAGGGGTGATGACGGGGTACAGTAAACGAAATTCTATTTAGTCCGTCAGTTAGATGATCAAAAAATAATGGACACGTATTTTTTCTTTGGATAATCAACCAAAAAATGACAAAGTTATAGCGCGTCAAAGTTTTTGAGTAGGGGCTCGTGACGTCACTTTTTAGTGAATTTTCACTTAAAAGTGTACTCAAACGTGACGTGCTGCGACTTTTCAAATCAATATATCTCTGCAATGTTTATATTATGTGAAAAAAGAAAAAATACATGTCCAATCCTTTTTGATAATCTACCTGATAAACGAAGAAAAAAAAAATTAGTCATCATCCCTATTGACGAAGATTGAAATGTACTTTTGATACCATGTCGAATCAGTCGATATGTTTCCATAACATTTTACAACTGGTAAAAATATATATATATATATATACAATTAATGTATTATATAATCCCGGCCGCCGGCAGAAAACTGCGGTCTCGTGAGTTTTAAAATAAACCAGTTCTGTGAGTTCTTAGTTCATGGCGGTCGAAGTTAGCTAGCAGCGAGCGCAACTATGCACAGGTTTCAGTTCAATAACATCCCACGCGCGCCTACGAACGTAAACGAAATGTAGGGTACATTTTATTTAGGTACTGCGCCTTGACTAGCGCCCGATTCACAGCCGCCGTTAAGTGTGAATCGCTCTATACCTTATAAACCTTACTAAAATCTTTTGTTTTTTGATTGCAGTCGGTCCAGTTCACGGTTATGTGGGTGTTATTCGTGGCCATCGTTGTGTTGAACGCTTCTGTGATAGCTGCCCTGCTCTGCACCAACGCCAGAAAGAGTCGCATGAACTTCTTCATCATGCAGCTGGCGATAGCTGGTGAGTTGATTTTCAAAAATGTGAAGGAAAAAGTACAGTTGAAGATAGAAGCTATGCTAAGCTGCCTGAAAAGTCGTCTTTTTAATTTCCAAAAAAGTTTTCGACTTTTCCGAAATATAGGGGAAACTACCCAATCATTGGCACTCTTCCTATTATTGGCACTTTTGAGTTTAATTCGGAAAAACAAGGAAACAATAGATTATTCGAGGTCGTTACATATTAAAAAGAAAAACCTAGTATGGTTTCGAAATTTGAAAATTGGCAGCATTATTCCTACAATCTATTGTTTCCTGTTTTTTTTTCGAACTAAACTCAAAAGTGCCAATAATAGGAAGAGTGCCAATGATCGGGTGGTTTCTCCTATTTAAGATCTTCGTAAAGCCCTTCAAATTCTGCGTCTTTTGAGCTCTCATACGTGCTCGTGACCCTAAACCTCGGGGTATCACGGGCGAGTCACACTTTCTGCGAAAATGGGGGCCTACTGGAGCAAACAAAAAAAACTTTTTTTATTTTAAAACTATTAACAGCCAGCAGTAGTTAAGTTACTAAGAGAGGTAAGGAATAGAGTCTGTGCGGAAAGAAAATGGGCGTGGATTTTTATTTGGCAATCAAACCCAACAATCTGTAAAACGTCAAAGTTTTGTATTGATACGGATTTGTTTGTTGTTTGTGTGATTTTTTGCGGTTTTTTTTATATTTAATCATGTCTAAAAGGGGTAAAATCTAACAAATACGGTAGAAAAGCACTACAGCGCTCTCCAATCTAAATCCCATTCTCTTTCCGCACAGACTCTAGCTGACTTTTTGCGCGAATTGCAGCGCCCGCCTGAAGAAGTAACCTCCACCTTACTTCTTGGTCGTGCTGTGTGAGTAAGGTCCCAGGGCTCCATGGGGTAGGGAATTAGGTCAGGGAAGGCAACGATGTGAGTGATAGTTTTAGTATTGGAAGCATCTCTATAGATGCTGCTCTGCTCACCATCAGTTGACTGTTTGCCACCCCTTCAACATAAAAAAAAAGTTACCATAAACTGTCCTTATTTCTTCAGAGCCTGTGAGCAATGTAAAAGCCAAAATAAATTGGATGTCGATCAGGATCCATTCCTAATTTTGTACCTCAAGAATTATCATGCATTAATGGGTAGAAAAATACGCCGAATTTATCAAAAATATAAAAATAGAGTTTACCAGGCCACTCAGAAAGTTATGCGAAAAAAAGTTTTTATGTATAAGACACTAGCAACTTGTATTTATAGAATTGAAGGCCGAAGAGTTGTCTGCAAAAAATATTTTGAAAATTGGTTTAGATGCATGAAACTTTGTATGGAGGCTTATAAAACTTTGTATAGAGAACTTTGAATAGAAGTTAGTTTTTAGTTTCTTCAAACTTTCTGAGTGACCCACGTATTATCCACCTCTAACACATAAAAATGTTGTTTAAAGATTTAACTTAATGACAACACAGAAAATATATTGTAGTAAATGTGCATCTATAAATTAATAACAATTAGCTACGGATATCGCGTGATACAACCAATCACAACCAAGGAAATTAATTTAAACCAATAGTGTTAGGCTGTCATCTGTCAATCAATGACAAATTGTGTTTAAGTAATTACGTTTCTTTATACGCAGACTCTTTTTTAATTCAGATTTTCAGAATTTCATATAATTGAATTAATTTAGATTTCGATGATTGAGATTCTGAGTCTTCTTAAGTTTAATTTTAGATGATTTTTAAGATAATGTGTACAAAATTGGGAGAAAATCGAAGGTCTCCTTTGGCAAATTTGGGTAACGTGAACTGAATGTGTGTATATATACTCATTGGTAAAGATAAGAAAAAAATTCAACATATTATGCTAAGCTACACATCAATAAACAACGTCTCTTTAATAAAAAAAAAACCCCTATAAAAGAAAGCTGTCTAAAATTTTGATGTAGTTTCACTCAATTTCGGGGTTGTCTTAACTTATATGTTATGCACGAAGTTTCACGTCATTCTGCTATATTATTAAATTGTCCGTGGAAACGGCTCGTCTTCACGTCTTCATATATTATATTAGATGAGAATCTCCTTGCAACAGCTTCTTTGTAGCTAGAGAACCGCGATAACTTTTTGTGAGTCAAATAGGCTTCCCTTAATGACAACTCGGATCTTTTGTCCCCGTCTCATCTGCTTTAGCATATAAATGGAAATAGGCAATATGTAGGCAGTAAAGAGGCTTTAATTAATACTATGTTTAATTTAGAGAAAGACGTAGGCAGATACTTTGTGCGTCTTTAAGACTGAGTGATCATTAGGCAGATGACTGAGGTCCTCACTGTTGGGCTACTGGCGTTCCCAAAATCACACTTATATTATAAAGGCGAATGTTTGTGAGTGTGTGACTGTGTATGTTTGTTAGTTCTTCACGTCAAATAGCTGGAGCGATTTTAATAAAGGAAATTGCTCAAATTGGCCCAAATGAAAAAAATATATTTACAAATACAGTTATTCTTGGCGTAATTTATAATTTATTTTACAGTCATTACATTTTAACGGACACCTTTGTAAAATATATTCATTTTAAAAAAGACTTTTAATTGTACCGGTTTGGAAAACATACAAATCATTTTTAATGGCTATGGGTGTAGTAACATTCAGCCAAAGACTGAGATTTAGATGTTATATAAAAAACTCAAAGTTGTTTATATAACATCTAAATAAATCTATTTTGTAAAGATCGATAAAATAAAACAATTTTTTATTACACTGTGGTATTAATATCCACAACTATATTATTTCTACATGCAAATGTGCTAAGACAATTATTATAGATGATAGGCGACATTATAAAGTCTATTGCCATACATTTTTCGCCAAACACCTCCATAAGCACATTAAAGGATACACTAAAAATCTAAAATATGGTTAGAATATAAATATAAGAAAAATAATGAAGCTACTGAATATATAACTTATTTGTTTTTTATTATTTTTATACCTATGTGCCTATTTGCAAACATAACCTCAAAATTATTCAGTGTACCTATATGGTTTATAGAAGTTCTCAGGAGTGTCCGTCAATAATATTCGTTTCTACAGTAATTTATATATAACTAGCTGTTACCCGCGGCTACGCTCGCGTGGTTTTCCTATTTGAGGCTATCATCCTCTTTTGACATAGTGAGTAAAAAAGTAGCTTATAGCAACCCAAAGCTTCAACCTATTAGTGCAGTCATTGAAGCGAAAAATACGGTCTAACCTCCGAATTTTTTTACTGTGAACCGTTTTGCATGAAATTTTGGAATTAGGCTCACCTTACCCTTAACTTCAAAAGTGAAAATGATCTGAACTCCGCCTATTATTTTTAAGGGGTGTGAACAACCCCTTAATGGAAAAATTGACATTGAGCCATTTTATAGCTAGAAAACATGTCTAATAGTAAGTGATGAAATTGTAAAGTATTTTCTAACATAACTACCCCATATTAAAATCATTTTCAACCCCTTGAAAATCTTACAACCCTTGCAAACAACCCCTAAATTGAAAAAATCACAAAAAAATACTTTGGTATGACATAAAAAGATTTTGTATTAGAATGCATAAAATGCATCTGCTCGCCGCTAGATGGGATTGACCACATCGATTAAATTTCAGACAAAATAAAAAACGGCTTTGATCTTTGACATCTAGCTTAATATTGCACTTAGAATATTCTATAAAAAAAACCAAATTGTTCATTGTTTTACCTGCTACAATTATGTTCTTTATAAAATTTTCGATAAAACTTACATTTTTGGAGATATTTGCAATGAAAAACCGATGAAAAACGGGAAAAAATTTCGAATTTTCAATTGCCAATAACTTGAAAAGTATTGGATTTTTTGAAAAACTTTATAGATGATTTTTTGCTTAAAATTTATTACAATACTTATTTTGAAAAAAAAATCACCCCCCAGAAGGGGTGGCAACCATCATTTTCACTTTTGAAGTTAAGGGTAAGATGAACCTAATTCCAAAATTGTATGCAATTCGGTTCACAGTAAAAAAAATCGGAGTAATAATGCTTCAATGACTGCACTATATATACTTACCAAATTTCAAAGTGGTTTAGGCTTCGAGGAAGGATAAACAAAACAAACACTCTCATAATAATACCTAATACTACTATGGATAGTACGTAATAAAACTTCAAAATGTAAAAGCATTAATATTATTAGAATAAAGGGTTTAATTATTTTAAACACATAGCAGTACTATTTAAGTACGCTACTGTACACGATGTTATGTGTTTTTCCATAATTTTTATCAGTGAGTCAATTTTATACATTCGAAGAAACTACCAAAATACCTACCTAATTCATTTAATGCACAACAAAACCAAATCACAAAGGAAAACAAAAACAGATATGGTACCTTGGTAAATCGTATTTCTTTAAAATCAATCAAGGTAGGTAGGTACCTGCTGCTGCTTGCTGTTGCTTACCTGCTGAAATGGCTCAATGTCAATTTTTCCATTAAGGGGTTGTTTACACCCCTTAAAAATAATAGGCGGAGTTCAGATCATTTTCACTTTTGAAGTTAAGGGTAAGGTGAGCCTAATTCCAAAATTTCATGCAAAACGGTTCACAGTAAAAAAATTCGGAGGTAAGACCGTATTTTTCGCTTCAATGACTGCACTAATAGGTTGAAGCTTTGGGTTGCTATAAGCTACTTTTTTACTCACTATGTCAAAAGAGGATGATAGCCTCAAATAGGAAAACCACACGAGCGTAGCCGCGGGTAACAGCTAGTTAACAATAAATATTAAAAAGTCATGTTCATAAATAGCGCGATCTGAAAAAACGCAATATCACAACTCAGATTTTTAAACAATTAAAAATACTCATTTTAAAGACGGGTGGTGCCATCTATTAAGTTACTCAAAAAATATTATTTCCAGAGAGACTACTCGGTTGAGTTGGTATTTATAATCACTCGAAAATGATATTTTTATATTATAAATTTAGAGTAGTAT